CACTGCCCAGACCACAAGATTTGCTTCCTTAATCTATTTATACAGCAAGGCCTTGGCCTTCTCCAAACCTGCTTCCTAGGCCTAAGGACCAGCTCCTGCCTTGAAGGGTCATCTGGCCTCATGTGGACATGATGTTGACAACTTTCCCATAAATGCAACAAAACCTTGATTAGTTGGAACTCAATAGGAACCTTCAATCTGACAGAATTTTCCTAGTACTCTCACTTTTAAGAGGAAAATTATTTTAAAAATCAAACTTCAAGGGATTTCCTAAAGCATTACTTGTTGAAATGAATTCAGTTTCTCATTCTTTCCTTCAATCTTGCCTATTAGTTATATTGTCAGAATTGATGAGAATCATGGTCCTATCATTTACAATCCATGTGGCCGTGGACGAGGTCAGCTCTCCATGTCCTCTTCTCTTAGCCCCCTATCATATTAGTGATTGCACGCTGCCGAGTTCAGCCTTGGATCACCCGCCATCTGCCGCCTTTGCCCTTACACACGTGCTCTGAATGAAGGTGGTGAAGATCAGACAGCCCTTCTGACTGGGTCGGCTGCCCAACCTCACTTGGGCCCTCACCGTTGCTTGGCAATCCTTCTCTACTTCCTTCACCAACTCTCTCTCCCACCCTCCACAGCAGCTCTTCCAAATCTTGTCTTCAACTCCCACGGCTCCCTCTCCCTCACTCTTTCAGCTGAGAACCTTGTGTCATGTTTTCCTGAAAAAACTGACACCATTTGCTGAGAGCTCCCTCTTCTCCCCTTCTCCTTGTCTTACAGTGCCTTACAATCTTACAGTACTGGGCCCTTTTCTGGGCAGCTAGGTGGTACAGTAGATAGGGTGCCAGGCCTGAAGTCAGAAAGACTCAAGTTCAAATCCAACCTCAGAAACTTACTACGTGATCCTGGGCAAGCCACGTAACCTGTTTGCCTCAGTTTCCCCATCTATAAAACGGGGATGATGATAATAGCACTTACCTCCCAAGTTCCTGGTAAGGATCAAATGAGATAATAAATGTGAAGTGCTTAGTACAGAGCCTGGCACACAGTAATGCTATATAAATGCTAACTATTATTGTTTTTATTCTCTTCTTCCACTATACTCCTCCACTTGGTAATCTCATCAGCTCCCACGGATCAGTTGCATCTTTATGCTGAAGATTCTCAGATCCACTTATCTAACCCATCCACTGGCCTTCCACCTTCAACTGCTTAGTGGACTTCTTGGACTGGACGTGCTGTGGGCATCTGAAACTCCACATGTCCAAAGCTCAATTCAATCTTCCTCCCAAACCTTCTCCTCTTCCAAACTTCTCTATAACTGTCAAAAGTGCACCACCTCCCAGCCCCCCAGGCTCAAAATCTGGGGTACTGTCCTCAGCCCCTCATTCTCCCCCGTCCTCCATCCAAGCTGGTGCCAAGGCCTGACAATTTCATCCCTGCAGCACGTCTCTCGAATGTGTTTCCTTCTCTCCTCTGACAGGGTCACTCCCCCCCAATCATCTGACCTCTGGACTACTGCTGTAGCTGCTGCTGAGCCTGCCTGCCTCAAGGCCCTCCTCATTCTATTCCATCTTCCACTCAGCTAAAGTGATTTCCCTAAAGCTCAGGTCTGACCATGTTGCCCCCTTCCTCAGTAAATTCTAGTGGCTCCTATCATTTCCAGGAGTAATACAAAATCCTCTGTTTGGTATTCAAAACCCGTCAGAGCCTAGCCCCCTCCTACCTTTCCAGTCTTTTTACACCTTACTCTTCAACATCATCTCTTCTATCCAGTGACACTGGCCTCCTGGCTGTTCCTCGAATATGATACTCCATCTCTGGGCTTCAGGCATTTTCCCTGGCTGTCCCCCACGCCTGGAATGCTCTCCCTCCATATCTCCACCTCCTGGCTTCCTTCAGGTCCCAGTTAAAATCCTCCTTCTACAGAAAAGTCTTTCCTCTTAATTAATACTCTTAATTCTTAAATTCTTTCCTTCTGATTCTAGAACCATCCCTCAGTAATTATCTCCTGTTTATCTTGTCTATGTCTTGCTTGCACATAGCTGGCTCCCCAATTAGGCTGTAAGCTCCTTGAGGGTAAGAGACTATCTTTTGCCTTCTTTGTATCCCTAAGCTTAGCACAGTGCCTGGAATAAAGTAGCTGCTTAATAAATATTTATTGGATCTCAGTTTCCTCATCCGTAAAATAAGGAGGCAGAATTAGATGGCCTCTTACTTCTTTTCCACTTCTAAATCTATGACCCCATAACACAAGTATATTTGAAACAATCATTCCCCTTGCCTACAGGCACTCAAAGAATTTAAGGCCTCATTGACAAATCCAAGTACACTCACTATGTTGTACTTACCAAGGCAAGAAAATGGACTAACACATTTTATAAACATTTTCAACAATTGTAAACAAACAAGGTTTTCTGCTTGACTCAACCCCATCAGGCTCTCTATTCCCTCTGGGTTTTAGTGTGCGTACTTGCCACTTTTTTTTTTAATTTATTTTTTTTTTAGCAAAGAAACACATTTATACAAGTCAAATAGCAAAAAATGGAAATCACAGAAAGTATACATATGAGAACATATACCAGATAATACAGAGTGAAGGAGCTCTCCCATTGGAAGTGAGGTAACAGCTCAACCAAAAGAGTCCTAGATCTCACTTAGGGGAAGTTTTCCAATGTCTCTAGTGTAGCAAGCTAGTAACAGAGACATGATATGGAGACTCTCAGATCCTCTCATGTCAGCTTCTTCCAAGAGTCTTTTCCTTCTGCAATCCGAAGTGGAACTGGCAGTCATTTTGGGTGCAGAGACTTGCCACTTCTAATAGGCAGTTATGCCCCTGACTTGATTTTTTTATAGATACAGTTTGTTCTGAGATTGGCTCAATGCTTCAAAGGACCCCCTCCATCAGAGCTTGTCTTTAGTAGAAGCGCCACAGCAGCAGGCCACACATGACCATCTGGAAGCTGAAGCTCTTCCTCAAAGCTCAGGGCTCTGCCATGGTGGGCCAGTTACCCCAGCGAGAGGCCCATTAATTGTGGCAATGCCAAAGTAAACTCTGAAGTAAAAGTTACAGAAATATTCTTGCTTTCTGACCCAACAACTGTATCACTGGAAATATATCCTGAAAATGCTATTTTTTCAGACAGCTATATTCTCAGAGATTTTCATAGCATATGATTCTAGAAAACCAGAAACAACTTTAATGCCCCAAATCAGGAGAATAGTTAAATAAATTGTGTTACATTACGCAAAACTAAGATGTCATCAAGACTGCTAAGCATGAAGAGAGACGCACAGTAGAGGAGTAGACAGAAGCTAGCCTGAGAGTCTGGAAGACTTTGGTTCCAGGCCTGACTCTGACATCTAAGTTGTCCTTCACCTCTCAGTGCCTTCAATGATTGCAGAGAGGGAGCAGCTCTCCTTTGCTAGAGGGAGTTTCCTAAACCGCTAAGCCACAAGCCAATGCAAGTTCATATCATAACACACAAAGATCCCTGGGAAGGTCTTCCAATGCAAAGTAAAAAAAAATGAACCAGAAGAATGGTGCTTACGGGAAGGCCACAGAGAGGACCAGCGAATAAGAGCCAACTGATGCGGACAAAGAGGGAACAGGTGAAAGCTGCGCTATTTTGTGTTGAAATTAATTCAGGTAAATGTAAGTACTTCCTGAACAAGTTGAGTATCAAGTTTTTAATGTACCACTTGATTCAGTAAGAGAGTAAGATAGTGCAAAGCCCCAAGAACCACGGGAGAGGAGCAGCAGAGTACCTCCTCAGAATGAACTCACAAGAGTTACCAGCAAGGCACCTCGAGGAGTCATTAAACATTCAACCTCAATCAATCAGTCAATCAATCAATCTGGGATTTTCCTGACATTTCCTGGAGAAGGAAGAAGTAAATTCAATGACAAAGGATAGATTTTGAACCAGGAGAAATTCCTTATGGCCACTACAGATAGCAAAATTATTTTGCAAACTAACTGCAAAACTCATGGGCCTCAGACTCTCAGGGATATGTATCCCCATGGATACCCCTGCAGATCAAGCCTACCCAAAGGCTGCCTGTTGTTCAGTCGTTTTGGTCATGTCCAACTTTTTGTGACTCTATCTGCGGTTTTCTTGACAGACATACTGGTGCAGTTTGCCATTTCCTTCGAGGAAACTGAGGCAAACCGTTAAGTGACTTGCTCAGGGTCACACAGCTAATAAGTGTCTGAGGATGGATTTAAACTCTGGTCTTCCTGACTCCAGGCTCAGTGCTCTATCCACTGTACCACCTAGCCACCAGAAAGGCTGCCTGAGGGAACAGAAAGAACACTGGAAGATTGCAGCTAGAGGTTTGACTTTATCCTTTAGCCTGAATGATCTGGGCAAGTCACATTAGCCCTCATTGGTAAAATAGGGATAAATATCAACTTCTGCACTACCTATCTTACATGCTTAATGGAAGGATCAGAGAAGACAATAATACTTATTCACACTGCTATAGGGCTTTGAAATTTACCAAGGACTTTCCTCTTAAAAATCCTATAGCAGAGGCAGAGTCCAAACACTATTAACCCCACTTTACAGATGGGAAACCTGAAGCTCAAAAGCGAACTATCTCACCCAAGACTCCAAGGCCAGTAAGTTTCTCATCTGTACATTAGAAAGTTGAACTAGACACTCTCTAAGGTTCCTTCCAGCTCCAGATGCTATGACTCAAAGGGGAAAAAAAAAGGTGAGACAGAAATAAGACTTATACTTCAGTCTTTCAACTTCAAGGTTAGTGTTCTACTATACTGTACAGTTTCCTTGTATGTGTGTATGGGCTGTGTAACTGTAAATTATTATTATGAAATAGTATTTTGTTTATAAAAGAAACTTGTAGACATTTCTTTCAAAATATGCCCCCTGAATTTCTCCCAAACCACTTTGGCTCTTCCATCGGAGGGGGGGTGTTGTATTCACAAGGGGTGAGGCCCCTTTCCGAGGTTGGCACGGGAAACCATCACTTACCTAATCCCTCCAGCTCCTGTACCACTTCTTTCCAGACGGGCTCGATGTGGATGCAGCTGAAGCACCAGTCTGAGGTAATCTTGATGAGGTAGGGCTTTCTGAAGCTGTCCGGCACCACCTCGTTGACATAATGGGAAAAGTGCAGCAGATACTTCTCATCGGATGAGTCTCGACGCTCCGAATGGAACGGGAAATGAAAAAATGATTCATCAAAGTAAAAGCTGTCATGGAAATGGTGGAAGTGGTGACCCTGCGGCTGCTGGGCCTGGTGGTACCCGGTGTTTTCACCAGCATCTCCATAGCGATCAAAGTTGGATCTCTTTTCTTCATTGGAAAGAATCTAGTGAGAGAAAGTTTGAAGAGTTCAAGGGGATCAAAGCACCCCAGAGAACTGGCCAAGGACAGTGTGACAGTGGACAGCCACCCTGCGGGGCAATTTACATGTATTCCACCATGTACTGAAGGGACATTATGTGTAGCTACTCAGGCTTTAGGAATCAAGCTCCCAAGGCCTGCCGGGAATCAGAAGGGTTGTGACTCTCCTGGCACCAACACGACTGGATAGGACAGGGGCAGCTAGGTGGTGCAGTGGATAAAGCACTGGCCCTGGAGTCAGGAGGACCTGAGTTCAAATCCAGCCTCAGACACATAACACATACTAGCTGTGTGACCCTGGGCAAGTCACTTAACCCCATTGTCTAACCAAAAAAAAAAAAAATAATAATAATAATAATAAAACAAAGATTGGATAGGACAAATCAAATATGACAGTAATGGTCAACAGCATCATTCTGCCCTGAGTCAGAGTAATTTAAACAAATCTCTGATTGGGAAAATTAAGGAATATCACACAGAATGACTTGCATGTTGGAGATACCAATCAACATGTGCTTATTTAACATGGCCTTGTGGGCTATGGCACAAGAATTAGGTTATGCATTCAAATGTCATTCCTTAATTCTGCTGCCTTCCCTCTATTAATTCCTTCCTATTTATCCTCTGCATAACTTGCTGTGTATCTGATTGCAATTGTCTCCAACTATTAGATTGCAAGCTTCTTAAGGTCAGGGACTGTGGTCTGCCTTTTTTTTGTATCCCCAGTGCTCAGCACAATGCCTGGCACATAGCAGGCACTTAATAAATGTTTATTGATTGACTGAAAGGCTCAAAGAAAGACATGGGTACTACCAGTCCCATTTCTGCCACTATTAGTCATGTGACTTCAAGGAAGTCCTTCTGAGACAGTTTCTTTATATCTACAAAGAAAATGACAATGATTACCTCATGAAGATTTGTAATGATGAAATAATAGATGTGATAATACTTGAAAATATTATACAGCATCTAGGCTAAAGACAAGGGGTGGGGTGTAAACTTTCCTTTAAAAACACAAATAAGTGAATGTGTGTAAAACTATGAAGTAGTATGCAAATTAAGACATTATTATTATTATCCTCACTATGACTTGTATTGAGTAACAGATGATACACGAATGACAAAGCTTGGTACAATACCTCATAAGCCTTGCTAATCTGAATGAACTTGTCTTCTGCTCCGGGATCTTTATTTTTGTCAGGATGCCTGAAATAAAAAAAAAATAAGCCCACAGTAAGAAAAGACTTTCTCTCAGACACCATCCCTCAATGCCCTTGGACACAGCTGCCGATGCCAGAGGCAGATAGCAGGAAACTTGGTCAGAATGGTTTCTAACAAAGGGTCAGTTTGTCTCACCTGGCTAAAAAACAAGGGGAGCCTTAGAAGAGATAAGTCATTTCTTCCTAAGAAACAACAACAGAAGTACAGGCTTTTAAATCACCATGCTGTTATTACTGGCAGGTCTCTCTTTTAGTATTCCTTTACAAAGAAGGAGGACATAACTGTGTTTTGAAATTAATCAACTGACAACCAACCAGTGCTAAATTTGGCTGATGATTGAACCTGTCAGCAAGAACCTACTTCTTTCTCCAAGAGCACACAGAAAGTATCACTACAGCCTCAGGATGGTTAAATCTGATGGCTCAGGTTGCACTTCCACTGCTCAATGAACCTGCTTAGGAACCATCACATTGTGAACAGCAGTTAGGTGCTGACCTCCTGAGCAAGGTCGTCACCAGGGCTGCTGTGTTGTTAGCCGCCCACGGCACGAGCACTTGCTAGCGTTTTCTATAAGGCAAAGGGACCCATAAGATTTCAAATTTTGATCATTAAAATTTATTTAAACAAAAAATAGAATAAATCTGAGCTAACAGTACTGATAATCTAGGTTCCTCACTTGTCAATTAATGATATACTTCCTTGTGACATTTCTTCTATTTACTGCCTTGTATTATGATTTCAGGTGCTAATGTCCTCTTCTCCACACAGAGGTTTATAAGCTTCCTGGGAGCTGGGATGACCTTCTATGACTTTATACCCTGTGGCAAACACTATAGTCTGCACTTTGCAGGTGTTCAATAATTATGTGTTAGTCAGCTGAAAGAGTCAATCTTCATTCGAAGAAATGAAATCCCATTTGCTATATGTTCTAATCTGTACAAAATCTTTTCTACCGGCTCCTTTAGCGATGTAAATAACTACCTCTTGGGATAAGGAAGAGTCTAAAGTTGGTCAATCTGTCATCAGAAAGTGAATGAAGAGCAAACCCAATTCTATTATATACTTTTCTGAAAGTTCGGACTTCTTTAATATCTCACAGATATCAGAGGAGCACTTTGGCTAGATCTTTTTTTCTCTCCACTTATCCATTATATATTTTGACCTTACAGAAACAAAACACTCAAAATATTTATCAATAAAATCAACTTAAATTTTAATATTTAACATATGTTAAGAATCAATGACATTATCTGGGGCAGAAATGGAGAGAAAGCTGAGCTATTTGTTAGAAAAAAACACAATGTGGCAGCTATGGTAAAGCTTCTGCCTCACGGAAATAAGAGATAACGGCTCTGACATTATGCCTTTGGATGGCGAGTGAAAATGTTTCAGTTGTCTAAATTTAACTTTTAAAAACTGAAGAGAAAAAAAAAAGTTGTAATCAACCAAATTCCTTACACAAAGAAGGAAAATTAAACTTCTAAAAAGGCTGGGTCAAAAGAGAAATGCTTGAAGTTAGTTTGGTAACTAAGCAAAGCTGCTCACAGTGGAATCTGGGGAGTCCATTACAGTGGGCATAACCTAGGAATCATCCCTCTAGAGGACTGCGGTCCTAATGTCCATTTCAATTTCTCTGAAATAATTTCACAAACCAAAGCAGAATCTTTTACATTTTAAAATAATAACAAATGGTCTCTGAAGCTGGGTCAACTTCCTGTGTACCTTGAAAGAAATAATGCATTTTGTGACTTCTTCCTAGTCTGGCAACTTCTAAATAAGTAAAACTGTGGTAAGAAAAGTGCTATGGGGGCAGCTAGGTGGTGCAGTGGATACAGCGCCAGCCTTGAAGTCAGGAGGATCCGAGTTCAAATTCAACCTCAGACACTTGACATTCACTAGCTGTGTGACCCTGGGCAAGTCACTTAACCCCGATTGCCTAGCCCCCCCCCCCCAAAAAAAGTGCCATGGTAAAGTCTAACAAGGGTTGGCCAGGAGGACTTCTGGGGGCTTTACCAACTCTAACAGAAAATAATTTTATAAAACAACATAGAATGTAGTTTGCTAAAGTACTCATCTGCCTCAATTCATTTTATATCTTTTTTCTTTTTTTGCTAAAAGTTAGGAAAAAAAAAATTCTGTAATACTGACTAATCTACTGGAAGCAAACGGTCCTCCTGAGGGAAAAAATGGGCTAAGACCACAACAAAACCACAAGAGTACACAAGAAGTGGAAAGGACACGTCATTTTAAAAGTTTTCCCCCAAATGGCTTTGTAAAGATGAGGGTGAAGTTTTGAGAAGCCCAAGTACCAGAACCCAATAAGACAAGATGTACCAAAGCCCACAAGTCACCATATTTCCCTTGGCTGTAGCTCATACTTTTAGGTCTACTTGTAAAAAATGAGAGGTATACACCATTTTATACCAAAAACTTCAATTCTTTCCATTAGGAAACATTCTCATAGTTGCAATAATTGGGCATAAAGGTGTTATGGAAAAATAAGAGCAAAGAACAACTTCACAGATGTTCATGATCTATGTCTACTGTGAATGGATACTCCTAGGAAAACGAATTCCAGGGGAAACAGCACACGACTCAATGAATCAAAACAACAGAACCTTGTTCAGCTCTGGAAGATGAAAATGTCAAGCTATCTCCCTCCATTCCTTCATGATATGAAAACAGTCAGTTAAGAGTCCTTAAAACACCTTAGAAAGGGGGAGATACCCTAAAGTTCTAAAAGAATCATGTTGCCATTTGAAGTAACTATAACTTTACTAATATTGAATGCTGTTTAGATTAAAAAAATGAGAGGCCAAACAGAACACTGCACATTGACAGAAAAGCATTACATTTTGGGGTGAAGATGGACCCTGGAAGGAAATGTGGATATCAAGTCAAGAATAAATCAGACTTGAGTTAGGCTTCACCAGTGCCAAGGATCTCAGAGCTCCCCTGTGCCTTCCTGACACCACAGAGGATACTCCCCAAATGTTTATGCAGTTTGCCAGACCCTGAGTCTTCTCTTATTTGTCAGAGTAACTTCTCTCAACCAAAATGCAGCCCACCACCCACCTATAGGGGTGACCAGGAAGTCAATGAACAATGGCAGGAGCAAGAGGAGAACGTGGCTTGGAGACCTGCCTTCCCCCACACTGGACCTGGCCCAAGGCTCTTCAATGTCCTGAGCCTCACAGTGCCCACCTGAGCAGTGCCCTCCCGCCCTCCCATGGATGCAGGGAGGCATCAAATGCCATGTGGTACAGGAAGCCCCGGGCACATGCGAGTTCTTATTTCAGACCTGTGGCAGACCCTCTGCACTTCAGGGCCCTCGAGGGGCCCAGGCGGCCTTGGATACCCGCTCCGCCTTTATGGCTTCAGTCTAATCGCCTGACGATAAATAGCACAGAGTTCTTCTGTAACGCCTGCAAATTGCCTTATAGGCATGGATCCTCACAGCAGCCTTGTAGGGGCTATTATTATCTTCATTTTGCAGATAAGGAAACTCAGGTTAAGAGAGATTTAGTGACTTGGTCAGGGCCACAGAACCAGGCCCCTCTGTTTCAGACAGGATTCAAATCCAGTCCTCTTTTCCTGGTTCTCTGATATCCAGCCATGAAACCTCTTCCCTCTGGTCAGTTTGGCAGGCATTTTATCTGTTGTTAGCAAAGCTGTTATAATATTTATTAACAGTCACATGATAATGTGAAAACAGTATGAGAAAGCTGGGAACAGAAGGTAACATGACTTTACTTAATGTTCCACTCTCTACTTGGAGCCTAGGCATCAATTTCTGTTCATTGAAGCTTTTCGCCCCTCCTTTTTCCTCTGCTGCTAGCTTTGTACATAGATCATAAGACCATAGGCTGAGGAATGGAAGGGATGTCAGAGGCCTCATTTGACAGAAATGGAAATTGAGGCCCAAATGACTTGCCCCAAATGACTCACTGCTAGTGGTAAGCAGCTGGAATGGGGTGATGATTTGACCCAGGTCCTTTCTACCATTCTGCCTCTCTCTCCTTCTACTACTTTTACCCAAGGCTGTTTCTGGGAGCTTCTCCACTAATCCCCCCTAAGGCCTTTCTCACAGGAGGTGAAGTACCCGCCCAGCACCAAGCGGCCAATACCCTAATCTAATTCTTTCTGACTGGGAGGCCAGATCCATTCACTAGGCCAGGCTGCAGTGAAGTCATGTATTTGGCGAAAAATAATTTTGGATTATCAGTGGATTACATCAAACCATTCTATTTCTGTATCAAGCTTCTCACCTCCACTAGTCTGTTAGTCAACATTTACTAAGTGCCCACTACGTGCCAGGCACTGGGTTAAGCAAGTGCTGGGGATATAGAGAAAGGCAAAGATCATCTCTGCCTTCAAACTTAAAAAGTGTGCATATTCTGTATGTACCTACAACCTTAATTTTTTCTCTAAAAGTATTTCTTTTTAAATAGAAATACTTTCTCAGTTTTAGTGATTTCTGAAATACTCTTTTTTTTCATTGCTTTTTTGTGAGGCAATCTGGGTCAAGTGACTTGCCCAGGGTCAGTCACACAGCTAGTAAGTGTCAAGTGTCTGAAGCTGGATTTGAACTCGAGTCCTCCTGACTCTAAGGCCAGAGCTCTACCCACTGTACCACCTAGCTGCCCCAATACTCTTTTTTTTTAAACTGTTAATAAACAATGAAGTGAAACAGTAAAGTGGCAAGAAGACAGACTGGGAGCCAGAGAACTGATTATAGTCCTGCCTTGGACACTTCCTGGTTGTGTGACTGAGGGAAAACCACCTTGTGCTTCTGTGTCTACTCCCTCATCTGTCAAACTGGGAAACTAGCACTTGCCTAAACTCCAAGGATAGCTATGAAGGTCAAATGAAAAAATGTGTAGGAAATGACATTTTGAATGGTAAAACTCTCACTGTTACTGATCAAACTAAGGTGTTGTCATGACCTTGAGACCTGATTACTCAAAAATACAGAAAGAAAAAAAGTGACTCATCCGTAAGTGTTTCATATAGGTATACAGTATAAATGTAGATAGACACAAACATGAATGCTATCCAGTCCAATTTTAGGTATGTGGCCCTTCTGGAAGTGCTATGCTCACATTAAACTTCTATTTGTGATTTGTTCCACCTACCATTCCCGGGCGAGCTTCTTATAAGCCTTTTTAATATCAGCCTGGCTGGCAGCGCGGCTGACCCTGAGGACTCTGTATGGGTCCAAATCCAACGCGGACAAGATTTGCAGGCTCAAAACCAGAACTATCAAGAACTGCCAGGAAAGGCTCAACGTTCTCACTCCCATTTCTCTTCCTTCCCAGAGCTGAAATGATTGAATAGGCGTGAGTTTCAGCAACAGAAACCTGGACAGTACTGGTCGAGGTAAAAGCAGAAGACATATGGACGGAAACCCTCCACCAAACCCCCCCCCCCCCAAACTAACAAAACCTGTGGCAGAAAAAAAAAATCAAGTTTTTGATGAAAAGATATGGATCTTTAACATTAGCCCAAGGTAGACGATTCTTCCTTTAAAAAACAGCATCATGAATTAAGGACTATTAAACAAAAACACAGTATTGAGAATCAATAGCCGTGGTCAAAAAACCTTGGCTTAGAAACAGTCCAAAGATCACTGAACTCGTAGACATTTTAAAAAAAATGTTGGACAAAAGAACCAGACTAATTCACACTAATGCAGAACAAGGAATAGCAAATTAATATGGGAGAAAAATCAAAAGGAGAAAATTCTGGTGAGAACATTCAAAATATATGTTTGATTTAATTCACTAACAAGGGCTAAATATGTTTCAATGAACATTTCCACAGAGGCCCATGAAAAATTAAGAATAAACCCTAAGATAGGGCAGGTGAGAGAAGGTGCTTGTGGGCATTTCCAAGTCCAAAAGATCAAAGTAAAATTATTTTAAATTTTAGAACAGTAGATTTTGTATTGCTTCAAATTCCATTCCTTCTCTTTTGTTTCCTTCTAGCTAATTTTATTGAAAGGAAAAGGAGTGATAATTTTGCAACTTCCTCTTTATTTTAATCATCTGTATTATGATAGTCGTGTCAGACCACGGAAGAACTCATGGAGACAGAAACACAGGGGCAAGATCCAAACTAGAGAAAATTCAGTTTGCTATTAGAGGTGGAATCAATGATGAAGACTATACAGTGATCCATCTTCAGTAAATCTTATCACTGTATTGAGCACCTTTCTGAAGATGACCCAGGTTGAGTTAAGAACAAGACAAGCCTTTAACTTTCTTCTTAGAAACATGACTAGAGTCAAGTTGTCCTATGATGCATCTATTATTTCTACACAGACTCTTCATCAATGATCCAATTTGGAAGGATGAAAATACTAAAGTGCCACCACAGCTGCAAGGATGTTACTTTTAGAAGATGACAAACATGTCCCAAAGGCAGATATGGAAGCCCACCAGTTGCAAATCCCCATAGGTTTTACTGAACTGAGAGAAAATATTGGTGGCAATAGTTATGACAAATAGGAAAACAAGATGGATCAGAGAGTGCCCATGTTAGACAAATGAATACTGTTCTTCAATATCTTTTTGAATATCTACAAACAGGCTACTATATCTTTTGCATATATGTTCCCAGCAATGGCCCAAGCTCCATTTCTTAGACAAAGCCTGTCCTGAGGCACACGATGAGGTCGGGAGAGGAAAGGGAGTAAGCATTTCTATAGCTGCTACTATGTGACCAGGCACTGTGCTAAGCTTTAGAAATATTATCTCACAACAATGGGAGGTAGGTGCTATTATCACCCACATTTCACAGGTGAGGAAATTGAGGAAAACAAGTTAAGTGACTTGCCAGGGTCACTGTACTAATGAGTACCTGAGGATGGGTCTGAACTCAGGTCTTCCCGACTCTGGTCCCAACACTATCAACTGGGCTATCATTTGCCCTCTTTCCTTCTCAACTTGCCATGAAATTACTTCTTCTAACTTTTATAGTAACTTAGCTGCATACCAATTTCTCCCCAGATGAAGGTTAACTACTTGAGAACAAGAACTATTTCTCTATTTTTCTCTGTGGATCCCCAGCAGAGTGCTTTGCATACACAGTGGGTGCTAAAGAAGCATTTCTTGTTGAAATGAATTACTTGGGACTTCAGCTTGGCTTATCCATTGCACTCTCTGATTTCAGTCACTAACTTCATTAAAGTCACTCTTCTGTGCCTTGAAAATGGCACTTGGGCTACCATTAGCCAGTTGTGAAAACAATTATCCAAGCTAAGTCTCAGTTTTCACCTATTTCCAATGGGAGCAAGTATGATTTCCACCCGGTTTATGGAATTGCCATACAATATGGGAGCAATGATGATAAAAAGCAGACCAGGGAGACTTGTGACAGTGTGGGCAGCAGAGGAGGGTTCAGGGCAGACTCGGCATTTAGAAACTATTGTTGAAATACAGAATAAGACATTATATGACCTTGAAGCCCCATAAAATTTCGGATATGTCTACTTATATAAATAAAGAAAAAACGACAACGGGAGCATAGAAGATGACAAAATAGGGCAAAAACCCTACTAGGACAGTGTGACAGAGGAACCTAACCTCAGGCAGGGCTCTGAGCTCCAAGGCAAGTAGCCAAGAGTCTCGGAGCCTCCGTCTCCTTTTCTGTAAAAAAGGAATGACACCAGCTGCTTGGCCTTGGGGGGAGGGTGGGAGGGATGGTGTAAAGCATCGGAAGCCATTTGCTAAACTGACAGCAACGCCGCCCCCATCTGCCCCCCAACCCTGAGCCCAGAGTTCCGCGGCCCGCGGGAGGAAGCGTCTGTGGGCAGCCAAGCCAGCCGGCTGCCCCGACCTCCAGGAAGGCTTCCCGGAGGCCTCCTGCCAGGAGGGATCGCTCTCCCCCGTCTCAGGCCTCGGGTCCAGGGAAAAGCACGCCCGTCCGACCGCCCGGGGAAGTTCAAGGACGCGCCGAGGGCAGGGGCAGGGGCCCGGCAGCAGCAAAGACCTCGGGGGTGTCCCTCTCAGGACCGGGCCTCAGTTTCCCCCGCTGTCGCTCGCCCTTAGGCTCCGCAGCCGCACCGCTGCCAGAGAGCGCCGAATCCCGGCAAGCTGGGGACCGGCCTGGCTGCCCAGGCCCCGCCCCGTCCCCAGGCCTGGCCCCACCGCTCCGAAGCCCGTACTTCCTTACCGGGAGCAGTGGCGGTCCCCGCCGCCCGCCCGCCTGTCTGCCGGCCGGCCGCCGCCCGGGGCAGCCGCAGGGACCACAGAGTCCTAGGCGCCAGAGAGCCACACCAGCGGCCGCCTCCCGGCTCCGCCCCGCCTCCACTGCAGGACCCCGGCTCAAGCCCACTAGGGAGGCGGCGCGGCCAGGCCAGGCGCGGAGCAGCACGTGACTCCTTAAAGGGCTGGCGCCTTGCTCTGCCCAAACAGCCTACCAGGCCCCGAAGCCGCCTGAGCCTCGCCGGCCGCCGTCCTCACCCCCATCAGGGAGTGTTCCTGCACACTCCGCTCTTCGTCCCTCCCCCAGTTCTCCCCAAGCACTGTTGCCATGGACGCGGTGCGGGGTACTGCGGCCTTACCCAAGAGGCCCCAGGCTGGATGATCGAGAGGGCAACTATGTGCTTCCTAGCGAGGAAGGCACGCGAGGCCTGCCCGGCCGGTTTGTCGGCCTAGCAACAGCACCCCCTACTGCCTTACGTGCCTGGGAGGACCGCACCAGACACGCTGAGGCGGGGCTCAGGGATGCCAGAGCATCTTCTGGCTCGCGAGGGGATGCCCCGCCCCTTGGACGTCACGAGGAGACGGGGTTTCTCCAGGCTGGTCCAGCTCTGGTCACTTGTCGCCTTGCTGAGGCAGGGAAGGGCAGACTTCGTCCACGGAGACTAGGCTTCGACTTTGCTCTGAGGGGCTCTCGGACCGGCCCACCCCAGGGGTATACCGAGCCCTGGACACAGAGACTGGAAGGCCTGCGTAGCACTGGAGGGCCATCTAACCTATGTGTGCCTCAGTTTCCTCTCCTGTCCCATGGGGATGCTTTGTCAAGCGCCTGTTAACTGCAGTGCCCATTCCCCCCTCCCGTCCCTTACTGCCTTGGGCTTCCCAAGTCTAGGCATCCCCCAAAAAAGGGGGGGCAAAGGACAAGGCTACAGACTATAGACACAAGAAAAAGTCCTTTATTCCGAAGCGGAAAAGGTATAGACACACGAGAATCACTGCACAAAATGATTAACAGGATATCGAGAGTTACAATACACGAGGAGGCTAAAGGGAAAGTGGTTTTGCAAAACAGCTCATCAGGCATTTCTACTTCACCTTGGCTGGGCCCTGTCCAACCACTCCTGGTCCAAGGGTCAAGCTTTATAGGGACATATTGCCATGGACCATATTCTCCAATAAAGCCTTCCTGGCCAAGCAACACTGTTACTTTGTGGAAAAGACAAGTGCTCTATCCACAGGCC